TTGCCCTGTTGGGCATGGACATTGACTCACGATTCTTCTGTATCATTCTCAATTGGATGGTCACTCGGTTCCATTGTGCTATCTGCTTTGGCTATGACTACTTGGACTTCAGTGTGAATTTGCATTCTGGATTTCTGTGCTTCGTCCATATTCATGTTCCTTGCAAAAGGAATACAAGTCCCAAAAAAAAAAAAAAAAAAAAAAATGATGATTGTTTCGTCGGAGTTGCACCGACTCATCAGGAGGCTGAACCCTCGACAATCTGTGGAATCTTTGTATTGGATGGTTTGGGTCATGAACCCATATGGGCTGTCGACCCTTGCATATAGTAAGATTGATTAGTTCCTTTGAATAAAGAAATGTTTTTTTGTTCCGCTTTCTGATGTTGTCAATTCCATAATATCAAAGCTCTGGATTGTGATCTTCATCACCTTTCTCGAGGCTGTTTTTCCAAGTGTGGACTTTGTACTACACAAGTGAGTCCCGTTTTGTGATCCGGCGGCGTTCTCTTTCAGGGTTGGAGCTCCTCCCGGTGAGGGTTTCACGAGGTGGGAGGTGTTATCCTTGAGAGGGGAGGGGCGGTATTGAGGGTTTGTCTTTTCCTGGGCGGGGCTGATTTTGGGCCGGATCAGTCATGGCAGTTGGGGAGAGAGGGTAAGGGGCTGCGCATAGCATGGTGAGGGGTCAGGGGGTGTTTCGCTTGGAGGGGGTAGGACAGGAGGGAAGGGGAACTTCAGTTCTGACAGGGTATACTTTAGGGGGAATAGAATACCATTGAAGGAGCGGGAGTGACCGTTTACAGGGCTGTTCTGAACTGGGGCAGGGAGTTGAGGGGGCACATTCCCGGTGGAGGCAGTGTAAGGACAGGGGGATTGCTGCTTTTGAGGGAAGGAGTAACTCTGTGGGTCATGCTGTGAGTTCTTCACGTGCAGTCAAGTCCTGGATAAACACCGGAACTTCTATAGGGAGAGAGGTTCGTTTCCCTCCCATTCCCTCTTCTGATGGAAGGGGAGGGCGTCTTCTTGGTTGTCTGTTTTCTGAGTATACAGTTTCCTGGGGTTTTCTTTTGAAATCCTTCTGGATGGGGAGATCACATGGCTGTTTTAAACGCGTCCTGTGGTGAAGGGGGCTAGCCCCTAGGATGGAAGTAGGGCACAGCAGCGGCGGAGATGGTGGCTATGCCGAGATAAGTCTTGCCAGAGTGGAGTTGAGACGGATGGTGGAGGATCGTAATCAGCGCATGGGGGAGCTGCAGGTCTCGGAATCGCTGTGAGGTGATGATTGGTAGCTCGTCTGGCATTGACTGATGTCCTTGGTCCTAGTGGCTGACAAATGGACGAGACCAGAACGATGCTGGCTGGTGCTGGGGCTGTAACCTGAGCTGTATGGGGGCATGAGGCCTGGGAGAGAGATCTGGGGAGCTGTCGAGGGTGGAAGGCACTCCAGGGTCTGGTGAACTGGTACTTAGACGAAGGTGGCCGGAGCTGGGGCGGGTCACTTCACCCTGTAACCTAGCAGGTAGGGATCGTTCTGGAGTGGGTCCCGCCACTCTGTAACCTAGCAGTTGGGGAGTGTGAGGCCTGGTAGAGACTGGGTATCGAGGATACCAGGGTCGAGGTAGGTTTAGGGTTGGGATGCTGATGGTTTGCTGAAAGCTCCGACAGGACAAAGATTCGAGGTCTTTTATAGAAATGGCAAAAGAGGATGTTGTCATAGTAATTGTTGTCATAGTCATCATAAAAAATAAAAAATAAAAATGAATTTAATAAAAATAAAACTAAAAAAAGTGGTCATAGTCAGCCCAAATTTTTGAAGCTTGCTCTACTGCTTGGCTGATATTCCGGAATGGTTTCTTAGTTGCAGCATTTTGTTCCAAAGAGCATGGTTCTTCCTACCCGAAGCCGGGTAATGGCCCCGGTATGTTGCATACTGTAAAGGTGCAGACCAGAACAAGAACCGACCTCTCTAACAAAGTACAAGATAGCGCAGCGGAAAACTTAGATACCAATGATCCAAACAATCAATATTGCAATGCAGCCCAGAACATACATCATCATCATCATTCCATGGTGTGAAGGGGTCTGGCGCTCACACAGGAAGAATGCGCCAGCCCCAACCAAGTCTTCGGCACAGGCCCAAATAGTCCCTCGTCAAAATGTCTGAATCCCAATGTCGAGTCTGGATCCACTATCATCAAGTCTCAAGTCACAACTCTCTCTCTCTGTAGTAGTCCGCTG